CGCACTCCACTGAGACCAGTGTAGTTTTTACCGAGCAGACAGCAGAAACGGCGAGAAAGACGGTGGCAGCTGCCGGAGGAAACCCGTGGCACCCGACCCGAGGCCACCGGAAGTCCCAGAGAGAGCGCCAGCCCTTGCAGTGAAATTATCTAACTGGAACCAACGTTATACCTATGTGTTTTATTATATTAATATATATGAATTTTTATATACGGGTAGTTGACAGATTTAGTTAGTAATTTAAATATTTTTACAAGGGACAATTGATTATTTATTATTATTATTCACCATTTCAATGGTTCTACAGTAAAACAAATTAATTTGTTGTCTTTGCTGTCTAGAAATAAAAGACTGACCTTTTTCTTTGAGGACAGTTAAAGTGTACAATATAGTTAAAATATACTTCTATATTTATATTCAATATAATAACCTTATTTTCAAAACCCTGTTATGATGACAATAAATGCAATCATTAATCCATGGTTAATATTTATTTTATTTATGCCATTGTTGGTAGGACTCAGCCACCACCTAAACTTCCTGTTGGACCGAGCCATAGATTTGCAAATAACTACTACTGTCAGAGAGATGGACGCAGAGAGTCCGGTCCACCAAGTGTAGTCATGTCTTCACAGAAGGCCCTAACTGCTGGAAGGTGGGCTGGCTTTGCTTAATACATATTTCATGTTAAAATGTTGTGTATTGTGCATTTAATTAGTTTTTAGCAGACACTTCTCTACACAAGTCAGTTCAATTGAAAGTACCATGATAGGCAGCTAAGACCCAGTCGCTAGCTAGGTGTGAATGCCTACTTTGAGCAACTACAGTGTAATTTGCCCTTTCTATATTTAGCTTTGGTAAAATAGCATCTGCTATTAAAATAATATAAAACATATTATTTGTTATGTTTCTTGGCAGTGGTTTCTTGATTTGTTTTATGAATATCTTGCTTAATTGCCCAATGCATATAATAATTCCAATGTTATTTACAAGTTTGTGTGTGGAAAACGGAATGTTCTGGAACAGAATTTCTTGACCAATTCTGTGCTCTCATGATAATGTTATATGGTGCCTTATTAGACAGTTGGCAAAATAACACATGCATGCATATGAACATCTCATTTTAACACCGTAGAATTAATAATGCATGCACATATAAGCCTGGGTTTAAACATGATAAAATATTAACAAACTCTGCCAGATTTGAATAATTTAATGCTACATAGTATTTCTACATTTCAATGGTAATTTGTTGGTGAATGGGGTTTAAATGCTGCCTAATTATGCCTTTTCATGATAACCATGTCCTAAATCTCTGCATGTTTTTCTTCTGTTCACAGTGAGGCTTCTGGAAAACCCAAACAGCCTGTTACTCCAGGGTCCCCACTGAAGGAGCTTCCACTGAGCGTTGACTAGATTTACAGTGTAATATATGTGTTATTCTCAATAAAGGATGTGTATATACAAGAAACATATTCAATGCACTCTGAGTAATGGATTACTATAACAAGGAAGTTTTGTTTATTGGGTTTATCTTGTTTATTGAGTAAGACAACCTTGTGACAACCCATTAACACTGATTTGAGAAGAATGTATTTTTTATATAAAATAATATAAAACATATTATTTGTTATGTTTCTTGACCGTGGTTTCTTGATTTGTTTTATGAATATCTTGCTTAATTGCCCAATGCATATAATAATTCCAATGTTATTTACAAGTTTGTGTGTTGAAAACGGAATGTTCTGGAACAGAATTTCTTGACCAATTCTGTGCTCTCATGATAATGTTATATGGTGCCTTATTAGACAGTTGGCAAAATAACACATGCATGCATATGAACATCTCATTTTAACACCGTAGAATTAATAATGCATGCACATATAAGCCTGGGTTTAAACATGATAAAATATTAACAAACTCTGCCAGATTTGAATAATTTAATGCTACATAGTATTTCTACATTTCAATGGTAATTTGTTGGTGAATGGGGTTTAAATGCTGCCTAATTATGCCTTTTCATGATAACCATGTCCTAAATCTCTGCATGTTTTTCTTCTGTTCACAGTGAGGCTTCTGGAAAACCCAAACAGCCTGTTACTCCAGGGTCCCCACTGAAGGAGCTTCCACTGAGCGTTGACTAGATTTACAGTGTAATATATGTGTTATTCTCAATAAAGGATGTGTATATACAAGAAACATATTCAATGCACTCTGAGTAATGGATTACTATAACAAGGAAGTTTTGTTTATTGGGTTTATCTTGTTTATTGAGTAAGACAACCTTGTGACAACCCATTAACACTGATTTGAGAAGAATGTATTTTTTATATATATATATATATGAAATATTATCTAAAGGGAAAATTCATGATATTCTTAAATTATTCTCCTAAAGAACATCTGTATTTAAAATATAATCTGACTACTGGCTCTCCACCAATATGTAAACGGTAATTATGAAACAGCATTTTATATGAAAAACTAGTTGAAAATATAATAAACTTTCAAAACACTGATTTGGCCAGCTGACAATAAATTGTATACATTTAATTATATAAAATGATATAAAACAGTACAAATTGCGCCAGATATAAATGTGACTTGCCCCTACCAAATGCCTTGCTGTGGTAATGTTGTGTTCATATGCTAAAGCCACAGCTATGGCAAAAATATGAGGACTTTCGGTTTTCAGTTTTTATCTAGATCTGGAGAAAAGAAGCATGTGTCATTAAAGATAACTGAAATGTATAATTATTTACAAACAGTCTGACTAAATAACAAACAGTTGTACCTTTCCAATTTTTTGAAGACATTGAGTAATTCATAATAGGCTGAAAAAAGTAAACCGTTAACCCAGTTACGTTTCTGAAGGCTTACATCTGACTGAAGTTTCTAAAAACGTGGAAGAACTAATTGTGGAAGCAGATGTAAATTTGCCCTCCATTCTTTCGACCAGGAGATGGCAGTAACACTGTACCGCACTCATTTCTGGTATTTGACTTTTTATTAAAATAAAATTTAATTCTCGCGATTGTCCCTCGGTTGCATCCGTAGAAAGTCGTCCTGCAGGTGACGTGATGGGGGAACATTTTTGAATAGTTCCTGAGAAACTCATCGGCGTGAGAACTGGGAAACATTAATAGCTCATATTTCTGCCGTCTGGAGTGATATAAGCCTGAAGACAAGCATGAACGTTCAGCCTTCAAACCCTAATAACCCGGTAGTGTTTTTCGATGTCACCGTTGGAGGACAAGTGAGTTTAAATCGCACTGTTGTTTTCATTAGCAAGATCAGCTAGCTGACGCTAAATCACGCACAGCCTTTTTATTTATTTTTCTCCAAAAACTTGCTGACTACTTAAATAGCTTAAATTAAACAGTCTGTGTAAAGACATCTAAATGCCACTTCAGAAGCGCGTCTTTTTGTGAAAGTTTGTGAAATTTAAACATACCTCCTCAAGGAAAAAGTTTGCCATGTCAGCTGTCAAGGTGGCTGTGTTTGATTCCCAAAAGTGCCTGAAGAGACAGCAAGTGTGAACCGTATAAACGGGTTTAATCCCAACTTTACTGCTTGATTTTCGAGCGTCATTCCATCTCAAGTGGCCCAGAAATGAATTTTGTTGCTTAAAAGTGTTGTTGTTGTTGTTGTTGTTGTTGTTGTTGTAGTAGTAGTAGTAGTAGTAGTAGTAGTAGTAGTAGTAGTAGTAGTAGTAGTAGTAGTAGTAGTAGTAGTAGTAGTAGTAGTAGTAGTAGTAGTAGTAGTAGTAGTAGTAGTAGTAGTAGTAGTAGTAGTAGTAGTAGTAGTAGTAGTAGTAGTAGTAGTACTACTACTACTACTACTAACCTTGGCTTATTATTGTGTCATGACCCACAAAAATGTTTCGGGGTTATGTGAATGCTAATGGAAACCTCAGTATCTCAGCTGTATGTCAGAGCTGCTTGTCACAAAAACTGATCTCTAGAGCACATTACATGTACATGTAAATATATATTATTGCACATTATTGTTCCTTAGAAGTTAGGTCCAAATGTAATAATCAAGATTACTCAGGGTTGCACATTGAGGTTCAGTTCGTAATGGGAATCATTCAGGTCTTAGCTGTAATGTTTGTAGGGGTGTCTATGTAATGTTTGAGACTTCTCTTCAGGTATGTGTAAAAGAGTGCAGTTTCTTTTATAACTGTCCCTCACTCAAGTTGATTATCTCTGGTATGGGACCAAATAGGAAACTGGAATTTAAATCCTCTATGGCAGCATTCTGCTGTAAAAATGTTAAGATTCCCCTGCTTACAAAACTAGAGCTAGTTGAAATCTAGGGAATAACATACTTAGTTTTTTGTGATTTGAGAAAGGAATATATATATATATATATATATCGCACCACATGATATTTCATAAAATGGAAATCATCGGACAAAGTTTGTTTGTATATTATGATGGAAATATAAATACAAATGCTTTGCAATTTTACACAGGATTACAAAACACTTTGGAAATCATGCCAAATAAATCATAAAATTAATTTGAATAAATTTAGGGTAATTTCAAAGATGTTGACAAAAAAAAGTTATGGTCGCACCACATGATATTTTGACTTTGAATAACAGAAAAATTACAAATAACTAATGTTTTTTGAAAAGTTAAAGTGAGTTCATACATGGGAGAGGTCCTTTATATATATATAATTTTGGACAGAACAGAGCAAAGAAGAACTTAGAGACTGTTTTGAGGACACAGAGTGGCAACTGTTCTTTGATGCATGAGAAGATGTACATGAGATCACTGACACCATTACATCTTACATACGTTTTTGTGAAAGTAATTGTGTTAAGACTAAAACAATTCAAATGTATCCGAACAATTGGTTATGGTTTACCAAACATCTTAAAATGTGTTTAAATGAGAAAAAAGCTGCTTTTTTAAATGGTGATAAGGAACTGCTTAGAGACAAAGGGAATGAATTTAGGGGTCGAATTAGGAAAGCTAAACTAGCATAAAAGGATAAGATTGAAATAGGTAATATACAGGCCAATGCTAAGAAGGCATGGGAAGGGCTTAATAGTATTATGGGAAGAGAGAAGAGGAAACAGGTGTGTTCCTTACAAGGTGCACCTTTTGTAGAAGATTTAAGCGTTTTCTTTACTAGGTTTGATAGGGGGGAGTGAACTACCGAATGTGAGAGAATATGTCTTAATATTCCGGCATATGAGCCCATTAAACTTAAAGAGTATGAAATAGCAGCCAGTCTTGCTAGCATTAAGCCAAATAAAGCACCTGGTCCAGACGGGCTAAAGGGTCGTGTGTTAAAAGATTGTGCTTTCCTACTAGCTGGTGTCCTTACCCAGCTGTTCCAGCTCTTGTTAAATTGTAGGGTGGTTCCAAATTCATGGAAAGAAACAAAGATTGTTCCAGTACCTAAAATATCTAATGCCAATCAGTTAAAAGATTTTAGACTGATAACTCTAACATCTATGTTGAGTAAATGTATGGAACGAGTATTAACAAGGCATATTTGGAACAGTGTGGTTAAAGATTTGGACCCCCTTCAGTTTGCCTACAGGGGAAAGAGGGGCACCGATGATGCTGTTATAACCTTATGTGATTTTGTAGCTGAACACATTCAGCAGACTACAAATTATGTTAGGATTTTATTTATAGATTTTAGCTCGGCTTTTAATTCGATTTGGATTGATATTCTTTTGCAAAGATTCATTAACTTGGGAGTAAATGGTGGATTAAAGTTATAAAGTTATTTGGTGGATTAAAGACTTTCTTTTAAATCGTCCTCAAAAAGTAGTTGTTAATGATATGGTGTCAAAGACAATCATTGTAAATACAGGAGTTCCTCAAGGAACTATTTTATCACCATTAATTTTCTCGTTGTATACAAATGAATTTAAGATCCAGGATTCATATTTTAATTTATTTAAATACGCGGACGACATGGCACTTGTTGGCCGGTTGAGTAAAGCTGGAACAGAGGGAGACACACTGTATTATATTACATAAATTTGCTTCAAAATTGGTGTAAACTGAGTTCACTGGAGGTTAATGTGAACAAAACCAAGGAATTGGTCATTAGTAGGAATAAACTAGATTTTATTGAAGGGACCAGAACCTTTGATACTTGATGGACATCAAATAGAGACGGTAGGAAGTTTTAAATATTTAGGAACATTTATTGATAGTAAATTGACATTTGCTGTAAATGTTGAATATGTTTTTAAAAAAAGCAATGCAGAGATTACATCTTATTAGGAGGTTACAACATTTCGATGTGAGTCAACATATTTTAGAGATGGTTTATAAGAATCTTGTTGAGAGTGTTATATGTTTTAATATGACTATGTGGTATGGACTAGTGCCAGTTAAAGAAAAGCAAAAACTGGGTCGAGCAGTTAAAATTGCTAGTGCAATTGTAGGACAACCACAAAGACAATTGAATGAA